CAATGCTCTTAGGCTGAGGTCCATTTTCAAGGCTGAGGGCACMGTTTTCTCTATCTTAACTGACTTTAAGATGGTAAATAACTTATTTATTTATTATTTATATATTCGAAGACGTGATGAGGAAATTATTCTGAAATAAAACTTAATGAATATGCAGAATTAGGACACAATTGATCATTTTTGACAAATGACTGGTCAAAATCTTCAAATAGTTTTTCACAAGGAACCTTTTATTGTTGGYAGAGAGATGATAATATTTGCTCTTTTTTGTATAGTTATCTGGGTAAAATATCTAAATTTTACAAAACTGGACATATTTATATTAATCTATCCAATTGGTTTCATCCAATTTCTTTTATGTGTTAGTTTTAATCACAAAGATGTCAGATGTTATGAGTTYTTTTTAACCATTATCCATGTTTTTGTCTTACTCTTTTCTGGCTTTTCGGGTCAATCCTATAAATCTATAAATACAGTACAGCTAATTGCTAGAAGGTTGTCATATAAAAAGGTACTTTATTCTAAAGCCTCTTATATTGACAAGAATAACTGTTTTACTATATGCCAACAAGGTAATATAAAAAAAATTCAGTCTATACCTTCAAAATAGTGAAATAATTCCAGCAGTTTTGCTTAACAAATAATTATTAATTCCTATTAATTATTTGATTTAACGTTTATATTTCAATGCTCCTACAATTAGATATACGTACTATACCCCTCTTAGATACACAATAAATGCCCTTCTCTACCCCCCATAGGTACACTTGCACCTTTCATTGCCAGGATCTTTTATTCATGATCTTATTTTAACTCCATGATTTAACTCACTTGCTTTATAACCAAATAGGACTCTCACCTTAAGTGAAATATTCYCAAGCTGTATAAACAATTAAATGTCAAAATGAAACATTGAATCGCATTAAGTGGACTTTATGTTTGGATTTCTCTTGTCCACAAATAGACAGAGAGTTTTTATAGTTTGATTAATCAGTTCTGAAAAACAGGTCATTAGTTGAGGCTCATACAACGGTTATTGACCAATGACATTCTAATAATGTCAATGATGTGTACTCTATCTATAATTAATCCAAAATAGAAAATGCATCCTGAAGTGAAATTCTTTCATTTAATTTCCTTAGCTTTAATTTCATTTCTCTTGAGGACAAATTTTTTTTCATTATTTCCTGTGCCAATTTTTTAATTTATTAAAAAAGATTTCTACTTTTCCTTTATATTTCTCAAAACKTTATTCCATCAATTAAAAGAAATCATTTATCTTTACTTGTTTTTATTATCAATTTAATTTGTTCTTTTTGTTTAAGTCATGTTTTAATTAGATACATGTGACAGCTTCCTTGTCCAAGCCTCCTTCCTGTTCTTGTGCCTTTAATTAAAATCACTTTATAGCCATTAAGCAAAGGGTTTTTGATATTGCTTGTTAGTTCCTAATCCCTTAAGTGCCTGTATGTCTCCCTAGCTTGGGCACTTACAGTAATTGCTTTCACACATGTCCCATGTCTAAAGTACTTAGATTAATTAAAAGGAAATGTTGAAATGTCTGAGCTAATCTGCCGTTGCTTAGGAACGAATAGGAACGAATAGTCACTCACTAATGTAAGGCAAAATGAAGTTGATTTGACGAGTAAATGTGTGCAGTTCTGGTTTAATATAACAAGATGGGGATTCTCTTTTAAGTAAGTGCAACAATTTTCCACCTAATGTTTAGTTACTATTATTTACAAATATTATTCTAACATTATGTAGTGTCAGTTTTTTCAGGTGGTCTTCTCCGATCCCTCTATTCTATCCCTCTATTTAATTGTGAATTGATTTTTTATTACGGTAGAAATATTCAAGTAATATAGACTAGAGTCTTTTAAAGTCGTGGAAAAATGATTCAAATTTCATGATATCATAAATCATTTTCTAATGTAATACTAGTATTTCCATTGAGGTTTAAAAACTTAAGAATATTTTTTCCATTTTCAGGTAGGAATATTATTAAAATATAACTGAACTGTGCACCATAGAATATTGATTATGATCATAGATAATTACTAAGTAGGTATTTATACTACAAGTAAGACTATAAATGCATTTAAAACGTTTTATTTAACTTACTATTACTGTCGTTCTACTCTAACCATKAACACTCAAGTTTTTTATTTTTTATTTGTTTCAATATACTTTAATWTTTTCTTTCTCTTTCATCATTTCATCTCCTTGAATATCTTTTATAGACTTCCATACATGTAATACGAATTCTGTTAATTTTGATCCCTAATCTATTCAGAGTAGAACAACAGTAATACATAGGAATGATCAATTCGCTTCTTAGATATTAAAGTTAGTATTGAAACTTAAGTTTTAAGCTTTACTTTTGGTGGTATATTAATTAATAATTATTATTATTAATCCAAAACGAAAACAGGAAGGAAAAAAAATGTCTGAAGTTAAATTTTGAGGCCTCAGCTATTAATATTTTTAATGATTTTGCTTCCTAGAATATTTTTTGTTATCAGATGTTTGAGTTTTGAAAATTCTGCAATAAATATTAGAGTATTATTATCTAATTAATTATTATTATTCATACTTTAAATGGCAATAGACCTTTTTACCAATTAATGATGTCCATCTTGAATTCTGATGTTTTAATCAAGACATGGGATGCCGAGGGGGTAACTATTGGAAAATGTAWAGACTACACAGCTGTCAGGGGGTCCTCTTATATAACTTTATGCATTTCAATGAGAAGCACATCTAAAAAGCAATTGAATTTGATGATAGTTGGAACGAAATTATTTGAAAACATAACTCCGCTACTCTATGCTTTATAAATTTCAACATTTGGCCCCTTGGCATCCCATAATTCAAAATGACYGCCGTWTCAGTAAAAAGGTCTATCAACGGCATTTTGTTTCTATGACAATTTGAGTTACYGAGTTTTGTTGTACATATTTTTGCTAACCAAAAGATCTTGGGGGAAATGTATCCACATTTTGAATTGAATAATTAATTGTACTTTAAAAAATGGAAAAGTGTGACTATTTGAGAAGAGTTCATATTATTCACTTCAGCAGCTTTAAATTTTTCTATTTCATGATAGAATTGATAATTTTTTTTTTGGATTTGCCATTAAACATTTCAATGATTAGATTTAGGAAATAGCAGGAGTTTAAGAATTATTGGGGTTGCAGAAGCGTTAAAACGATTTCATAACTCAACAGTTATTTAATTTTATATTCAGCCTAAATTCAAGTCGTGGAAGTACCCCAGAACATCCTACCAGTAATGGTGCAACTAGAGTTGAAGTCCTCCAGGGGATGACCCCAGAGGCTGACAAGACAGACTCTTGGGACGTTAGTGCTGATTCATCRATATCTGGTGGAGGAAACGACCTTGGCGTAGGGGGCCCTAACGTCATTGCACCTGTTTCAACCAATTCATTAGAGTACACTGAAGCGGGTACAACAGTCACTAATCTGGATAGCTGTGTGTATGGTGTGCCTGCCATGCATAGTGCAGACAGCTCATCGCAATTCCAGGTTACTGGACAATATCTTACAAATCCATCTGGGTTCTTCACCCAGCGTCCATACCCACATATTGTTCCTGCCCCATCACAGCAAGGCATTGGCACACAGTATCCAACTGGCRGCGGGGTCATACAAGGCACTGGAATAAACCCAGCCACCAACTATCTCTACTCACAGACAGGGGCACAGACTGGCTACCCRTTAGTACAAACGGTGAGGTACCCAACAAGTAGTTCTCCAGCCAAGACTTCAAGTGACGCTGGGACTGTATCAACAGATCCTAGCCAAACTGGCCCCATTCCAGATATCTCARTCCTAAGGCAGCCAGTGAGTTCATTCGGCAATCCATATGGGACTGCAGCATATTCCAGTGTTATACAACAAGGACAAGGCCAGTCAGGGTTCAATACATCCTATCCGCAGCAGTATTCTACTGTTACATATGTTGCAAACACAACTGCACCCACGTCTACGTCCAGTGGATATACTACTCAGCAAAGTGGTCAAGCTACTTTCCAATATCGTTATGCTCAACAGAATAATATACAAGGGGCAGGATATGCGTATGGCTTCCTGAATCCCCCTCCGCCAGCCTACTCTCCTCGTACGTACATCACCCAAATGAACAATACGCCATCACCCAACACAGCTGCAGGTCAAACAAGTACATATCAGTTGGCGTCTTTAGTGTCTAACCAAGTTAACGCATCTGATGGTGGAATCATGACATCAGGTATGCTATTCAACAATAAGAATTGCAGCCAAAATGGCGTACAATCCCCAGGGGGGTACTCTTGCCCGTTTAGGGTAGGGATGTGCCGCTGAGCCCACTGAACCCTGATTCTGTTCCAGAGTAAAATCGCTGAAATTCATAYCCTGTTCCAGAGCAAGATTGCTGAAAATTATAARCTGTTCCAGAAAGGAGACAGCGTGATTTCATATACCCTGTCCCAGAGCGAGYGCGATTTTATATACCCTGTTCCAGAGTAGAATCGCTGAAAACCATACCCTGTTTGGCGGCACGTACCCATATAGCAAATATAAGGGAGTACCCCCCTCCCCCCCCCCCCCCCCCCCCCCCCCCCCCCCCCCCCCCCCCCCCCGGGGTACAACCCAATAGCTACTATTGACTTGTAGACCATGAGGGCGAGAGATCTAAAGGTTTTAGTATAAATATGCTGATGAATCAAATAGATACAAATAATGTTGAAATTAGGTTAAAATATTTTTTTTTGCATTGTTTTGGTTTTTAAAACTGGCACCTTTTCGCTACTAGTTGCCTATCAMTAATAGGCCAATGGTAGCTTAGCCAATCAGAGAGCAGAAATTTGTGATAGATCATCAGTAGGTTTATACTGAAATCATTTTAGACCTTTGTTTCATAATGGAAGAGTGTTTTCATTAAGACATAACATAATATAAACATAAATTATGCTAAGTTTTTAAATATTTTTACATAATCCCCCCTGCCCCTCATTTTCCCTTTTGGTTCCTTTGGAAGCAATGACTGTATCTGTATTTCAACTTTTTTCAGATTCCTTTTTTCTTCCCATTTTTCTCTTTTCTTTTCTTTGGGTAAGAGTCCAAAAGAATTTTTAAAGTGCAAATAGCAGCCCTCTAACTAAATGTAAAAAAAAAAAATTTAATGTCGACATTTTAAGTTGTGTGCTAACTCAGGTTAGGCCTGATAGCATGTTATATATTCCTAGGTATTTCATAACAGCTAAATGCAAAGGATACAATTGGATTGTTTGGCTTTACTCTTTAATAAAAACTTCAACAAAAAAAAACTTCACAATTTGGTAGGGTAACTAAAATTACACAGAGTAATTCTAGGCCCTTTCTAGATCAAGTTAAAATTTAGAAGTTGAAAACTGGAGAACAACCCTCGAAGCACAGGAGAGAATCAACAAACAACTCTTATCACATACTGTACAACAAGTCTGAAAATCAAACCCAGGCTGCATTGGTCAGAGGTGTGCGCTCACACCACTATGCCACCCATGCTTCCCTTGAAGCATAATAGCCTTGCATTGAGCAGAAGATAACCAAAAACTGGACTATTATTTACCCACTAGAATATTACGCTTAAAATCTACTGTTATCTACGCAGCTAATACCTGTTCTATTACTGTAGTTGTCCAATATTCACCAACCATATCCACAAGTCCAAGTCCACCACAGTCTCCAGACAAAGCTCAAGATGATGGCTTAAACAGCACATCACTACTTAGCAGATCGGATGACACACAGGTAGTTGGGATGAGCGATGGTGTTATCGTATCAGGAGGTGGGAATGCCAACAGGAACCGTGGTAGAGGAGGGCGTGGTGGTCGAGGAAGAGGAAGTGGGCGGGGTCGTAGATCAACCAGTGCACCTCCTCCGGAATTGGATCATAATCTTGAGGTGAGTTCTAAAAGAAAGACTTCCTGGGGGAGGGGGGACTCCAATTGGAAAAGGGCGGGGATGCTTATCATGCCTTTTAGGATTCCCATTCTGCAATTTGGTACCTCTAGGATGTCACAAATCTAAAAGGACTACCAGAGAGTAAACCAGTTTTTGAGGCAATACAATACCTGAGATTATATGATRACAGTCAGAATGGCAGTTTTAATTCAGGATATTTATTTTCRGCTCATAATCTGACTTCTGTCACCACATATCTGTCATTTAGATCAGAGATAATAAAATTGGTACTTTTTAGGAATAAAAATCATTAGTTGCCGAGCCCAACTGGACTGGACTTGGGTACCCCTAAGTGGTTCTTTCAAAATTTCCAACAAGCATCGMCACCCTTCTGCCCTTCTGTATTTAGAAGCCCCTTCCCCCCTCCACTTTAATTTTGAATCTTATAATTTATGTGATCATGAATCCCCAGTAATGTCTATGTAATAGTCATCCAATGATTGTCTAGATTTTTGGTTACTGCTCCTGACTTAAACAGGCACCTTCATCTCCTATACACACACTATATAAAAAAAATTAAAATCTTTTGGATGCTAGGTAAAGATTTTGTTTCAGGGTAAGTTCTACTACACTCAAGTTTGGTCTGGTTGTTATTAGTGATGGTCCCAGATCAGACAATAATGACAGCCAAAAATGTGACTACCCTAACACAGTTCTAACATGCAGTTCTTTTGGAGGCTAGAATTTGGTCCCAAGATAAGATGGACTACTCTTAAGTCTCCCCTGCGGCCATTATTAATGATAGTCCCAGATCAGACAGAAATGACAGCYGAAAATGAGACTAACTACCCTAACTCACACCACCAACAGTCTTGTTAGATGAAATTTAAAGAATCTATTGACTGTCAGTATTCATATTCTACAGCGTATATTTGTCTGGGATCTTGACGAGACTATAATTATCTTCCACTCTCTCCTCACTGGATCGTTTGCATCAAAGTTTGGAAAGGTACTTGTACTAGTATTGTAAATAAACATACAGTGTTTGCTTTGTTTATAGTTTTTTAGACTATATTTTCCAAAATAAGTTAAAGTATGGTATATATTTACATTAGATGTCTTTACAGCTTAGGACTAGTCTTTCCAGTGTATCTGTTTAACTTATGTCTGTCATCTTCTTTAAGCACTATTAATAGACCATGTTCACCCCTCAGCTGGCTCCTTAGTTGATGAATTACTAAATATAGATGTACATACACTGTAGTTGATATTGAATATTCTATAATTATGTGCATTATAAAAAGAGTAAATGATTCTCTTATAGGATGCTCCCTCTAGTGTGTCTCTTGGCCTACGYATGGAAGAAATGATCTTTAATCTTGCTGATTCTCACTTGTTTTTTAATGATTTAGAGGTATGAATGCTATTGACTGTAATTGATTCAAGTTTTATCGAGTYTTTAGTTGTCTCACAGTTACACTTTACACATTGCAGGATTGTGATCAGGTCCATATTGATGATGTTGCTGCTGATGATAATGGTCTTGATTTAAGGTAATCAAATGCGATAATCAACTAATCGACTACAGTGAACTCTTGTTACAGCATACAAACTCAGGACCATCACTTGGTGTCAATAATAGGGAGCTACTGCGATAGCTAGAGTTAATTACAGTAATCAGTAATCTSGGATGATAGCAGTTGCTTTTTTCTTTGACATTTTTTGCCAAAAAATTCCAATTCCAATTCCAGTTTGATAAAGTAGATTATGAATCCCATAAGTTATATTTTTATTTATATAATTTATTCTTTTTCTCTTTTTCTCCCTAGTACGTACAATTTTGAAGGTGATGGGTTTCATGCAGCTGCAACATCTGCCACACTTTGTATGGCGACTGGTGTTCGAGGTGGCGTAGACTGGATGAGAAAGCTCGCATATAGATACAGAAAGATAAAGGAAGTTTATAACAGCTTTAGAAATAATGTTGGAGGTAAGAGTACTTATATATTTAGCTCTAAATATGTGTTCTGTGAGTCTACATGTGTAGTATAGTGGTGATACAAAGCTAAAAATGATAACAGGTCAGTCCCCAGTCATGGTGACTGGCAAAATTAGTTTTAGCYGAGTTAAACAACATTTCTGGCTCAATGTTACTGGTTAAAATGACTGACAAGGCAGAGATTTGACTGGACAAGCTTCAATTCAGGTCAAAGCTCTCAATGACAGGCTGCAATTTTTTCAGAATTGTGAGAGCTTTCCTCTTGTTCATGCTACTGAATTTTGTGTAATGCAAGTGGAGTTGCTCATTGAGTCTCTCAGGTGCTTTAGAGTTTTTCTCTAGGTTTTCTTTTTTTTTTTTTTGCTAATGCAAAAATCAGCATTTTCAAATTCAAATTTTCGTAAATATAACCACAAGATGTTTATATGTTGCCAAAGCAACAGAGTGGCAGAAAAATGAGTGTAACCTATTTTTGATTTACTTTTGTTCTCAGGTTTACTTGGTCCTGCAAAACGTGAAACATGGTTGCAATTACGAATGGAGCTGGAATCCTTAACTGACTCCTGGCTGACTTTAGCTCTAAAGGCATTAACTCTTATTCACTCTAGGTAACTACTCCAATTAATAAAGTGTACCTTATGACTTTAGTTTACTGCAATTCTCAATATTCTGCAAAATCAGACATCCTAACAGCTTGTTTTGAAATTGCTTTTTTGCTGCTGTCGATAAAAACTAATCAGAAAATAAGTGAAATTTTATTTTTGAGTGATGGCAGTGAAAAAGCAAAATCCAACAGGCAAACAGAATATTGAAAATGTCAGTAAACATATGCTTTGATATTCTTGTTAGTAGTATGTTTAGGCAAAGGAGAATTCACCCCTCCCCTCCACATCCCCCCTACACCTCCCCCCAAGTCAATAGTCCCTTCCAGATTTTTTTTTTCTTCTAATCTCTGTCTCCTTATTCACTACTTACTGCAAAAGAAAGACAAATCAATGGGTTTTTATTTTCCCAGCCCAGTGGCATGGTACACAGGGTTTTCATTGAATTTTAAAATAATAGGAGATCAACTGACCTTTAATGAAAACCCTGGGTATAGAAGAAGTTGGACAAATCTTCAATTTAAAATTTTCTATGGCTTCATCTTGAAAAAATTAATGCTCTCTAAATGCTTCCTTGTTGAAATTCCCAAAGCACTTTCATAATCAGTAACCTTAAGTCAGGGCTAAATAAATATCAACTGGTCTCAAGTAGCAAGAGGATGTAAGAAGAGCCTTTATCCTAACCCTCTTGAAGACTTAAACCCTATAAATTTCTCATTTCCTTGAACTGAATTTGTCCGCCTTTAATCTAATTAGTGTTGTTGTATTTGATTTCAGACCCAATTGTTTAAACATCTTAGTAACTACTACACAGTTATGTCCAGCATTAGCTAAGTGTTTGCTCTATGGCCTGGGTGGTCTTTTTCCTATTGAAAATATATACAGTGCTGCTAAAATTGGTAAGCAAATTCCAATTCCTATAACAAAGTATTTGTTATAGGGAAATAACAGTACAGAATAAATTTTTTCGGTAGCTAATTCAGCAAATTTTCACTGATATCATCGTAAAAATTGCTTCAAATGAATGAAAACATCAAGTGCAAAAAAATTCAAATAAGAAATTTTTGAAATTTGTTTCAAAATATCATAAGAAATAATTGATTTATTATTTTTAGTTTTCAATTTAGTTTGTTTTTCCATCCATTTACCTACCCATTCATTTGTTACATGGCTTGATCATAAATTTGTTCCTTCATTTATCCATTTCTTCCCATTGTGCGTATAATAATTAATACTTTGGTATGATTGCAATAGTTTGTCAGTTTTTTTATATTTATATTTCTTATGTTGCTGCTTTTCCTAGGTAAAGAAAGCTCTTTTGAACGCATAGCAAATCGTTTTGGCAAAAAATGTACCTACATTGTAGTTGGTGATGGCAGAGATGAGGAGGTTGCAAGCAAACAGGTTGGAAAATTAATAATTCATGTTTATTTCTAGGCTCTCTATTTAGAGAATCAACTTGGAAAGACTTGGAAGACAAACTCTGAGAATCAACACATAGCAATGAAAATAGTTTTAAATTTTCTTTTTTCTTCTTCATACCTTTCAGATGGGTTTTCCGTTTTGGAGAGTTAGTGCTCATTCAGACCTGATCAACCTTCATCATGCATTAGACCTTGGACATTTGTAACATGTAAGACAGCTCAACATAACAACGATTTTATCTGCTTTCAAGAATTATTCTAAGATCATCCACTCCTAAATGGCTATCATTCATCTTGCAAGTACAGCTTAATTATTACATCACAAACAGTTTTATGTTCCTATACAGCAAAACTACAGCGTTTCGAAGGTTAAGGTTTCTGTTTACATGCAATGATGGTTGTCATGGCAATAGAAAGGGCGAAAGAATAGAGAGAAAGGGCTTGTTCCAATAAATTTTTTATTATATTGGCAGAAAAAGAAATCTTAAGCATCAAATCAATAGACTGCTAAACTGCAGCATCTTGCCACCTAGGGAACCAATGAAACCTACTACCATACCRAACCAATCAGAAATCATTTTTATTTTGGGCTCGCTCCTCATATTCTCTAGTTGGTGTTTTCAAACATTGTGATGTTTATTTGCCATGAACCATTATTACTATAGCTTTTGCAAAGTTGCTTTGAATTGTTTCATCAGTGAATTAACCTATGGGTATGGCCGTATAAGAGGTGGATAGAGCACTATCYGACCGATAAATCTTATTAAGTGGATAAATTTATGGGATAACAGCATCACTTTATCCACTGGATAAGGATTTATCCCTCTGATAGTGCTATCCACCTTTCGTACCTCAAGGACCCGGTTGAGAAAGTAGAGATTTGACCATGTTTAATGTATTTGCATACTTCCATGTACTGGCCATGTACTAGCCAGCTTTGCATTGAAATTTGTCATTTTAATGTACAAAAGCCGTTGCATAGAGGTATGCAAGTACATTAATTGTGGTCACACTCTTGCACATTGTGCTTTAAACAGTTCTGGTGGACAAATTTAAGGGAGTAATAAAGAATATTGAAATAAACTAGCGAGTCTAAAAGATTCCTACCTTGTGACATAAAGTGTATTGTCACACAGAATATAAAGTGATGCTTCTAAAAAACAGTTTTAAAATTTCAAATGCATTTTTTCAAAAATGTATGTATTTGTACAGACAATTTTTATCAAAAAATGGCAATATTAACAAGTTTCATTACTGCTTAAATTTAAGTCTAACAGAAATTATGAGAAAAATGAATTAAGAATAATAATTATCTTTTAATGTTCCAAATTATTTTTAAAAAGATGATTTAGAGTTTTAGCTTGATTAATATAATACACAAATCGAGATGTTGATGATTGATTGAATGATTATCATATTAATATATATCATAATTCTTTTTGGAGTTCAGGCAATGAACTACTTAACAATAGAACTACCATCTTGCATTGCAAAGGCATCATGGGGTCTCCAGGGGGGCAAATATAGAGCTAATGTGAGGCTTGATGATGTATTCTTCTTTATATTGCCTGTCATTATTACAGCTAAGGGACTGGTCATTATGGGAGGGCAGGGGATGATAAATTCCCCCAAAATGCCCTTTTTTTCAGGGAGCCCCTAAGAAAGAAAAACATTTTTCAGGACGCCCCCAAATATAGTGAAATTCTCCAATATAAAACTTCGCAACGCCCCCTAATTTCATTCGGGTGAGCTTCACACTGCCCCCATTTCCCTTTCAATTTTTTTCAGTACGCCCCCTATTTCTCATCCACCACCCACCTCCCGCAAAAATGGTCCCTAAAAATGACACATTGATCACTTCTGCTAATAAGAAAAAGGCAAACAAGAAATRATGTGTTATGATTTATGCCATCTTTGTTTTGTTTTGCTTTGCTCTTTGGACACCCCATAATGCCTTGCGATTCAATTTATCCACTGTAATATTGAAGTAGTCAATAAATGCAGGTCACAGTATGACCTTTTCCCAAMTATATGTACTGAGTATAGCTGCAGCCATTCCAGATAGATAACTTACCATATTAATTTCACATCATAAGATTCCCATCAAGAGGTTTCTGTCAGCCATAGTAGTGTTATATTAACCTACAAAATGGTTGAACTAAAACCTCTATATCTAACTTCATATGTTACATCTATGTAGTGGGTCTTTGAAGTGCATTATAATATTGCATCTTAATTTTGGCCATGGAAATTATTATGGTACTGTTACTTAAGAATCACAACTAGACCCTATTTACATGAACATAAATGACCCTCGTTCTATTTTTGTGCATTGCAGGCTTAATTGAGTACTCTGGGTTTGACCAGTGGATCAATCTCTGCTTGAAGCACCTATTTACAACTCTTAAAACTCCAGTGTATGCAGGCTTAGGCCCTGTCCACACGTATCCGGAAATTTTTGTATCTGCAAATTTTTTTTTTCAGATACGGGTYGKGTCCACACGTGTTCGCAAATTTTTGTGTCCGTATCYGCAAATTTTACGAAAATGGATACGTGTGGATGGTGAAAACGATTCGAATACACTGCGTGTGGACGCAAACATTTTYGTATCTGCAAAAAATAATTTGCGGATACAAAAATTTCCGGATATGTGTGGACAGGGCCTTAGCCTCACTACTGAGGTCCATAAACAAAAACAGAAATTACAATAACAAAACAAGCAACTCCTAGATTCAAGGCTACTTCTGCATATGCTGGAGTTTTAAGAGTCGTCAATTGATTTATTGTACCTTAATGAGGCTTGAGATACATCTGAACATGATTAGTATATTTATGCAAGGGTATGACACATTGTAACTTATGTATGGTTAACTGCCAAACCTCACATAAGCCTATCATCCATTGTTTTCCATTCATACTGTTCATGTGGTTAAGTTCAACACTTGACCTTAATGTAACAAATAATTATTAGTAGATACATGAAATGCTGCATAAGAATAAGCCTGAAGCGAGATGACATTTTGCACTCGACTCTATGCCATAACAGTTTTTAAAATTCTTTCATATTAAAATTTTTGATTCCTTAGAGAATACAGGAACAATAGTCATAATTAAAGAACAAAAGCAATGTGAAAGGGATTATGGTCTAGAGGTGCGGGTAAAACGTCATTGATTTTGAACATAAAGGCACTTGGTTTGTTGCAAGACCATGAACTTGTCTAACTTACTATTGCAAGTTACAATAACCATTATATGAAGTACATGAAGCTGTACTTCCCACGACAAAAATGTGAGAGGTCTTAAGAAATATTTTCTAAAGTTTTAAGCTATTTTCATGCTTCTGCCACCACAATGCCCAGACAGCTTTAGTGTTGGCTTACTTCATCAAAACAAAAGGTCACTTGGATCATAGCATCATTTACTAGCAATGCCAGAATCCCTTGTACACATTCTTTTGTTCAGTTTATTAGCATTAATTGTCTTATTGTTTGTTTGAGAAAATACAAATTTGAGTTGGAAAGAAAATTCAAGCATTTTGGTGCTGGTAGTAATGCTGTCTTGCAAGTGGCCTATTTTGCATGAAAAGTGCTCAGAACAGCTTGGGAAATGCTCTTTTCTTAGTTTCTAAAGCACTTACAAATAGTATGAGTAAATAAAATGAAAACCAGTATGCCTGAAGTAGTGCTTTTTAAGAAAATGGGTGAAAGAAAGGCTTCACTAAAACATTGGTCTTTACTTTTCACCCATGCAGTAACTTAATCATGAACTTCAGAATAGCTTTGATACTACCCATGTTAGTTGAACCAAACAAGCCAATTGCCTTTCTTAAGTTCAAAGAAAGGCAAGTAACATCCTCAGGGTATGTAGAATTATGGTTAAATCTTTTCTAGTGGATAAATTCTATTGGATAACAGTATCGACATATCCACTGGATAAGGATTTATCTGTTGGATAACGCTATCCACCCTTTGTACAACTGGGCCCAGAAAAAAAATATAGCATAGCTTGCGTATTCAAAACTAAACATGGTTTATTGTTGATGTGCACAGGCTAATTCTAGCTGCTCATGTAATGCATTTTTGTGTGTGCAGATTTTCACTCTCTTCCATTCTTAGAGAAGCTCTTTCCCCGCCTAAAGATAAGAGTAGTGGATGTCTGCAAGCAGTTTTCATTTTTATATATACAAAATATATAAATATATTATACATACAGATAGGAATATATGTAATATGATTTTAGATTTTTATGAATGGATTAAATATAAAGATAATATAAAGGGGATACTCAGTATGTGTAGTGGTTGTTTTGGCTCATGCAGTCAACATTTGGTTTAGAATTACTGTTCCCTCAAAACGATGTTTTTCAATTGAGGGGTGGGGGTGCTACAAGTCATATTTTCCAATATTAGCCCCACCCCCCGACAGGAAAAAAACTGGATTCCCAAATTGGGAATTGTTGGGAATTCCATGAATTCCCAATTCGAACACCAACGTTGGGATTTATTGTTGGGAATTTCTTTCTAATACCCAATAGAAAAACAAAATTCCCAACAAACTAACATTGGAAATCAGTGCCACGTTCCCAATTTCGTTCTCTCTGGGAATTGGATGGGAATTTGTTGGTAATTCAAGGAAATTCCCAACAAATTCCCAATTTGGGTATCCAGGTTTTTTTCCTGTGCTACCCCATCCCCCACCCACACACTTTTTTCCATACTAGTCTCATATACCACTTTTTAGTGCCCCCTAATTTTAATAGACGTGATAAACTTAAGTCGAGGAACTTCATTTAAAAGTAATTCTTGGGCTCCCTGTGTAATGTGAAGGAACCTGGGGGGGGGGGGGACTCGCATATAAAGAAGGGGGGTTAGTTCTATCTCAGTTGAGGGTTAAAATCGTGAGATAAAAAAGGGAAAGCTTTTTTGTTGCGGTTTTTTTGTTTTGAATAATTTATCTTGTTTTTTAAAGTGCAGGATCCCGTCTGTTTATCAATTTACCTTTGGAGAGGGGAAGGGGGATTGAAGGGCCAATTAGAAAATTTACTTGAGGCGAATGTAATTTTTCCATTTAATAAAGGATTTCCTGGGATTTTAGCTTTGTAAATGAGGGCAATTAAAGAAAATTTACGTCTATCAATTTCTGACCCAGCCTTGGCCCCACCCCTCGCACATATCCTCTAAGGATAAAGAATGGTGAGAACCCTACTTGTGAATAACTGGGGGTAACACAGACTTTGGAAAATCGATTATCTAAAGGAATATTAAAGAATCAAAGAAAAGAGACGACGGGGGAAAAAATAAAATAAAACCTACAAAACGAGAGGTCGAAAGACAAGTTGGGCGAAGCTTATCTCGCAATGCATTATTGGGAACTTTTTTCACAATTTGACATCCGGGTTCCTTACAATGGTTTGTAAACTCCATAAACAATGGCTGCAATAAGGACGAGGTTTCGACATGACATTTTCATTATCAATTTTTTCTACATCTTAATATAACACGAGTATAAAACAATGGTGAAAACACGGAGAAGCTTTGAAGCTTCAAATGCTTCTCCCATCGTGGCTGAAAGACGCTCAACAAGAGAGAGGAAAAACAACAGAATATTGGAGGTTTGAGGAGGATTTGTACGAAGTTAAAAAAGTGCAACGTTTTTAGCAAATACCGGCTTTGACGATGTGTGACAAACAGGAATTACCAATTTATTTGTGACTTATATTTATAGGAGGATTCTACTGATGAGAGTGCAATGGAAAAAGCGCCTATTTCTTCAAGAAAACGTCTTCGTTTTAACAAAGAAGATCTTACCAGGCATGAAGATAGTAACAAGAAACTTGGAAAGACTAAAAGGCAAGATGTTGGCAGTCCAGAGATCTTAAGGTTTATAATACTGGATATTAAGCTTCTTTGTGTCATCAAATCTATGTCTTAAGTCACTGATTTATTGATAATTTAACTTTGTTTTTTTTTTAATGATTTATAGATCAACAAGAGGCCGCCGGAAAGGACAAAGGCTTAACACACAACCAAAAGATGAGCGACACAATAAAACCTTGGGTACGTCTGCACCGTATTATAAATACCCGAGAAAATGGTACAAATCAATGAATTAGAACTTCTTTCTTTGATGTTTTTCTTCTCTCTTTAGGCAAGGCTGGTCAACGAAGACGACGACCACCAGTGGAACAAGAACTCATTGAAGACGTCCTGCCTTCAATTAGGCGCAGTTGCCGGCAAAGACGAGGAGTTTATGATACTTTGAACGTAAAAATGTTGACGGACCACAGATATATTCACACTTATGAAAGCTTTCCTGCGGTAGAAGTCAAGGAACAAACAGAAGAACAAGCTTTAGAGGACGCACTCGATGACCAGGTTAGCAGGGAAGAAAATTTGAATTTGCCGCCATTTTAGATATTTTGGCGCCAAAATGTCATGACATCTTTGGATGGGATGTAAACAAAGGGAAAATGGGTCGCGGTGAATATTTAATATAAAGTAAATAAAAATTGCATTTAATGGGGTATTATAATATCAAACAAATGAAAATAAATAAACAGGTAAAAAATACATAAATTAACAAGTAAACAAATGTATAAAGAAAGTTGAATAAGATAATGAAATTTTTCATTATAATTGTTAGATTATATCTTTTATTTTTCATTGTACTTTATTTTGGTATCGTACAAAATATGTTTGGAATCTAATTTAAGAGAAGTCTTGACAATGAGGGCCATATATTGGCAGAGTTTTCCTCTTGAAAAAGTTATTTTATTGCATTTGTATGACTTTTAAGTCATAAAAAGTCATCATCCTAAAAGAAATTGTTAAGGAAATTGAATGAAAAAGTTATTAATTTAAGTCCTGGATATGTACTGAGATTTCGATAAAGGTTTTGCTAACTTTGTTTTTATTTTTGTATTTTTAGGATATTAGTATTTATTTATTATTGCATTATTTTTACATTTGTATAGGATGGCAATATGTATGATCACGTCAAACGTAGACATGAAACACCAACTCCAGAGAAGAGGCCACGCGGTGTTGATGATGATGATGGAGATGATGAAGATGATGAAGAAGAGGATGAGAATGACAGTGATGATGATAGTGATGATGAGGAAGATGACGAAGAGGAGGAAGATGAGGAAAGGCAAAGTAGAAAATACTTGTTAAGGACGCGAAAACCAGTAGTTAACAGATATATTGCACCTCCTATGAAAACAAGCAGAGGTAAGCACCCTTTAATCACCAGGAATTGTACAAATAATTCACTTAAATAATTACATAATCAGGGCTAGAAATAATGGCCTGTCAATCACTGATCATACATAAGTTTTAACTCCATCATACCTTATTTCTGGCTCAATGTTACTGGTCAAAATGACAGACTATGCAAAATTATGTCCAGAGAAGGTCCAATTTTGTCTGGACATTGTCTGATGACCGGCTGTTATTATGAACTCCCTGTATAATATTTTTACCATGTGTCTAAATGTAAAATAATAATAATAAAACCAAATGATATTTTTTAGGGAAGAAGGAATATCACATTTCATTAAACAAGAAGCACCTGCGTAACCATCCACCTCATGCTTCTCCAGTAAGAAGAATCCATTTACACAAACGAAAGGCTATAAATATGAGTTCTTCTACATCTTCAGGTAAGATGGCTATCAATTTGATACCCTCATTGAAATATATCATTTAGATGTATTTGATAATAAATGAAGATCTTGCATGACTGTGGAAAGTGCCTCTATCATGGTACAGTATTAATGACACCTGTTGATCATGTCTCAGTATGTGGGATCTCTGTTCATGAATGCTGTTTGAAATGCTTTGTCAGATAACCCAACATTTTTTGCCTTTATCAGAGGATTCTTGTGGTGAGAAAGATGAACAAAGATTTGAGCGCAGAAAGAACAAGAGCATGGCAAAAGCCAGACATCGTGCCTTGCCGATGAATCTTACTATTGAAGACATATCTAAAGGCATTCTAAGAGATAGAGATAGGGTTGGTTCTAGTTTAGCTGATGTTGATCCTATGATGATTGACAGTAAGGTTAGTACTATGATCCCTCCAACTCTTCATTCAAATTGTTCAAACGTTTTTATTTTTATTTTAATACGTGAATGACATTCAAGTTAATTGCAAGATCTTATTATGTATTGTTGCAGGTGAAATTTGACTCTGTCGGTGGGCTAGGCAAACAGATTAGGGCCTTGAAAGAAATGATTCTCTTTCCATTGATGTATCCCGAGGTGTTTGAAAAATTCAAAATTAACCCTCCAAGAGGTGTGCTATTCTATGGACCCCCAGGTTAGTTTTTACACACATAGATTATCTGCATTCACTATGAGATGTAATAATGCGATGTAATTTTCTAGTCTTTTTCACTGGGAGGGGTGGAGTGGGGTGGAGTGGGGACAGACAACCTTTCTAAGGGTGGTGTATTTTTTGATCTGAGAATAGTCCAAATAAACTACCTTGTGTTATACTTATTAATGTTGCTGTATATTTGTTTCAGGGACTGGCAAAACACTTGTTGCCAGGGCATTGGCTAATGAGTGTAGTCAAGGTGATCATAAGGTTGCCTTCTTCATGAGAAAAGGTGCTGACTGCCTTAGTAAGTGGGTAGGAGAATCTGAGAGACAGCTACGCCTGCTGTTTGATCAGGTACAGAACTAAATCTTTGTTGAATGAATGTAGTTGAAATAAAAAGGTGATAGATGGAGTAGATAGTACTAATATAATAGGGATTGAAGATCAAACATCAAGTTTTATATTTTCCATTCAAATGTTTACATGTGCCACATAGGCATTAAATGTTTTAATATTATTATATTTTGTACTTTTCTTGGTTAGGCATATGCTATGAGACCATCGATAATCTTCTTTGATGAGATTGATGGCCTTGCACCAGTTCGTTCAAGCCGTCAGGATCAAATCCATAGCTCTATAGTATCAACCTTGCTTGCATTGATGGATGGCCTCGATAGTAGAGGAGAAGTGGTGGTTATAGGCGCTACCAATCGCATTGATGCTATTGACCCTGCTCTTAGAAGACCTGGAAGATTTGACAGAGAGTTTCAGTTTCCATTACCTGACAAAGATGTAAGTTAGTCATTCAAGCTTACTGGGTATTATTTCAAGTCCAAATCACTGCTGACATGGTCATAATAAATGGTCACATGTTCATTGGAAAAGAGCAGTTTTCATAGTACTGTGAAAAATTCAAAGTATGACTGTATGGCATGGCATATATGTAAGCAATGCTCACACACACATTGTGATTGCTCTGTGCTGTAGGAAACAGTCACTGACAATATAGACTGCTTTGACAATACGGTGGCCATCTTGGATTGCAATGCATTATGGGACATCCTAAGGGCAAATACAGCTTTGCTACGGTAATGAGGTCAATAGACCTCTTCGGCTCTGTTGAATGTTTTCCTATTTTAGACCATGTGTCATTCCCTAGAGTATCATTTCTTTGTTTAAGGTTTGCGCTAGGTTGCACATGAGAAGACACATGAATATGGATACAGCTCAAACAAAGAATCTTTTCCTCAAGGGAAAGACACATGGTCTGAAATGGGAAAACATTTCCACAAGCCGAAGAGGTCTATTGATATTAACAGCTCACTACAAGAAAATACAGCAAAAGATGAATTAAGACGGCACATTGATCACCTTTAGTTACCCATAAAAGTACAAGGTCTTACAGGGTCTTTGGCCTCCAAGCCTCAGTTAATAAATATCTTACTATAAAGACAGCTAGAAATCAAGTCGATGCTAAGCCTAAACAAAGCATGGCACATCTGGATTTGTCTGGGCTGAGAGACTTAAAGTAAATTATACTACTAGTACCAATTACGATAGAAATGTGTCATTTATTCTCCCAATAGGCAAGGAGGTCCATTCTTTCCATCCATACTCGAGAATGGGAACCAAAGCTCTCTCAAGCATTTATCAATGAACTAGCTGATCACTGTGTGGGATACTGTGGTGCAGACATTAAAGCTCTTTGTACAGAGGCTGCACTCTTTGCTCTGAGAAGGCGATACCCACAAGTCTACAACAGCAGTAAGAAACTCCTTCTAGATGTAAATTCTATTGAGCTTACTTTTAAAGACTTCTTCAGGGCTACCAAGAATATTGTGCCTGCTTTCCAGAGGTCTATAGCTTCTCCTGCAAGAGCGCTGTCAGAAATTGTACAACCTCTTCTTGAAAACACATTCATCAAGACATTGGGGATTTTGGCCAAGATTTTCCCCCAGGCAAACACCAAGAAAGGTATGTTTACTGTTAAAGAACAATAATTTATGTCTGTACACCTTATGTGGCACTGAACTCTTTCAAACCAAACATCTAGTGCATCTCTTTACAGTAAGCTGTACTTACGTGTCAATGAGAAACTCAATATTTTTCTTGATATAGCTCTTGAAAGTCCACCCAATCAAGCCTCAAGTTCTAGAAATGACCAGAGATCAAAGACTGCAGCTTCCGTGAGTGATGATGATTTAAGCTCAGAAGATGACGATGATGATGTTGGTCCAAGCATTTATGATCCTGCTAGTCTTGTTGCAACTGGTGCATCACTGAGCAGAAGTGAGCGCTATATGCGGCGTAGACATCGGCTGCAACCATCCAATGAAGATTTTCCAATTGGTCCTAAGAGCTTTAGTTTACATGRTGAGTTGTTGAAGGGTCCAGTGAGCTTCAGGCCCCGACTACTGCTGTCAGGCCAAGAGGGTGGTGGTCAGACCTCTCACCTTGCACCAGCCCTTCTGCATAGTATGGAGCATTTAAGTGTTCATTCACTTGACCTACCTGCTCTTTTTGGTGTTGCTGCAAGGACTCCTGAGGAAGCCTGTTCACAGGTAACTTCTGGCTCCAGATCTATTCAATCTATAAAATAAAACGTATGAATAATTTGTTGATCTCTTGGGTCATCTTTTTTTTTTTAAGATTCAGATTTCAGATTTTTATTATAATTAATCCCTGGTATATGTGAAATACAGTATAAATTACAATTCGAAATAATAATATCATTTGTAGAGTATTTACAGATTTACAGTTTTTTTTTCCTTAGTCCATCCTCCTTCTTATTAATTTCAAAATAAATAAATAAATGAATAAACATTATTATGGAAAGAAGGAATAAAATTAGAAGTCATATACCTAGAGCAAGGCAGTCCAAAAGAAACCTCGGGACTTATAATTCTAGACTACTTTAATGAAGTATATCGAATAGTAAATGAGAATATTAGTAAGAAAAAATATATGGTACTCAAAAGAGAATATAATTGAATGAAATCTATTAGCTTTTCAGAGAAGCCAGACGTTCATCACCATGTATTATATACATGCCTCATATCCATTCTCTGTGGAATGCTACTAGTGAGAGTCTCCATGCAACACTTTTGTCACTACTTCAAGATCTTCCACCTTTATCTCCTATTCTTCTTCTTGCCACTGCTGAAAAAGACTTAAGAGTCATACCAAGAGAAATCCAAAATCTTTTTTCAACTCAAACTGAACAGGTAAAAAATAGCAATGAAAATCCATTTTGTACCTACTGAGCAGTGAATTTCGTTTAGGCCAATCACAGCGCGTTTAGCTGTTTGGCCCCACCCTTATTCTCAAGCTACTGTAACCCAGCTCTTGCGTATTTTTCTGTTTCCCATTGGCTAAAATATAGTATATGTGAAATATGTAAAGGAACAAATAAAAACAATTCCACTGTACTACCATGTTTGCTTCATCTTTCAAGCTCCAAAAAGGCTTAGGTCATTTTGTCCACTCTTGCTTTGCGCACGGCGTTCACTGCTTAGCTGGTATGGTGGGTAAAGAAATTTAGGTTGAGAAACACAGGTGGCCGAGCTGTGAGAATGCTTGCCTCTCATCTCACCAAACATGCAAAACAAATTGGGTTCCCAGACTTGGTTCTCTGTAGTGCTTCAAGGGTTTTTCTTCAGGTTCTTCAGTTTTCCTCCCTCCACAAAAATCGACTTCTAAATTACAATTCGGTCATAGAAGAAGGGCTATAGGTTTGTTAGTCACTGGCTATTCAACAAAACAAAAACTATTTTATTTATTAAGTCATGAACAGCTAACAATATACACTACAGCTTCACAACTCACATGTTGCCCCCCCCTCCCCCCCCCTCCCAACTTACTTTTTGATATCATATTTTTTTATTCCTTTAGGTTGTCCACGTTTGTGTTCCCAGCTCAGAAGAGAGAAAGGCATTTTTTCACAAGACATTTTTAGAATATGCATTGTACACTCCAAAAATGAAAAAAGCCAGTGAGTACACCCAGGAGTTATTGCCTGTCTCCTTTCTTAGTTTCCTTTTTTTCCACCTTAATTATTTTCCGATGATGTGACATGGTTGCCTTGTGTTCATCTAATAAACTAAGCAACTATTGTGAATACTTTTGCTGAAATTTGGGGGGATCAAGGGTGATGTAGCAGTATTGCTGTTGCGTCAAGAGTAGAGTTTGTTAGGTTTTCCCCTTGATTTGAAGGATTTCTCCAGGTATTCTGGTTTTCCTCCCTCTGCAAAACCTAGCACATCAAGTTAAAATGATTCTGTAAGTTAGCCACACCCTGACATAGATCAGCCCAGGGATTGTTCAAGCCATTTTTATCCTTTATTTGGCTTTTCCTCACTTTCACCCCAACACGGCAAGGGTTCTGTGTAATGGGTATCGACAGTTTTCATGGTAATAATTTGGTTTGTAACTAATTTATATTATAAATTTATTGCATTTTTAGGAAAGAGCAAATCACAAGAAGAACTTCCAATAGCACCTCCCCCTCCCCCTAGACAATTATCAGCAGCTGAATTGAATAAGATTCAAATGGCTGAAGAGAACACATTGAGAGAGCTGCGCATCTTTTTGAGAGACATCCATCACAAACTCATGGTGGATCGCAGATTCAAGGAGTTTTCAAAACCTGTGGACCTTGAGGAGGTATAGTATTGAAATGTAACTTTCAAGACATGTTGGGTAATTCTTGRGGGCCGTGAGCTAGGAAACTGTCAATGGTTATTGCATTTCCCTTAGGAATCAGAGTTATTGTATGGAATAGAGCGCTTTCACTCAYGTGAGAAGGCAGCCATAAACAATAGAAACTTTCTGCACAGTATTTGCATAAAAATAGAGTTCAATTCCCGGATAGAAAATGACATCACGTGAAAACGCTCTATAGCATGGCATGATATCGTATGTCATTATGGTATGGCATGGCATGGTATAGTATAGTATTGTATCTGGTATGGTATTATATGGTATGGTATTATATATGGTATGGTATGATAATATGGTATAGCATGGCATGGTATTGTATGTTATTATGGTATGGCATGACATGTTATAGTATAGTATTGTACCTGGTATAGTATCATATGGTATGGTGTCATATAGTATCATATGGTATGGTATGATAATATGGTATGGTATAGCATGGCATGATATTGTATGTTATTATGGTATGGCATGGCATGGTATAGTATAGTATTGTATCTGGTATGGTATTATATGGTATGGTATTATATATGGTATGGTATGATAATATGGTATGGCATGGCATGGTATTGTATGTTATTAGGGTATGGTATGGCATGGTATAGTATGGTATAGTATGGTACCTGGTATGGTATCATATGGTATGGTATCATATGGTATGGTATCATATGGTATGGTATCACATGGTATGGTATGATAATACGGTATGGTTTAGCTTGGCATGGTATTGTATGTTATTATGGTATGGTATGGCATGGTACAGTATAGTATGGTACCTGGTATGGTATTATAATATAGTATGGTATCATATGGTATGGTACAGCATGGCATGGTACAGTATGGAATTGTATCGTATTATTTAAGAAAAGATCTAACCACTAAAGGTTTATAGTAAAAGTAATATTTATTTCAATCTACAGGTTCCTGATTATCTTGAAGTGATTGATAAACCAATGGACCTATCGACCATGATGCAAAAGATAGATCGCCACCAGTATGATACATGTGCACATTACCTGTTAGATATTGATCTTATTACTAGCAATGCTCTGAAATATAACCCTGATAGGGATCCATTTGACAAGATTTTGAGACATAGAGCATGTGAACTCAGGGATTTAGCTCATTCACTGATTAAATCACAGCTGGAACCAGAATTTGAAAAGGTTGGTTAGACAGTGAATTATATCCCATTCTATTCTCTTTTGTTCTATTCAGCACTTTTCTTTCATTCTGCYGTGCTCTTATATCAATGACGTCATATGGACAAATGATTCTTTCTTTCTTCCTTCCTTCCTTCCTTCCTTCTTTCTTTCTTTCTTTCTTTCTTTCTTCCTTCCTTTCTTTYTTTCTTTCTTTTTTTCCCTTTTCTTTCTGTCTTAAGCCTTAATTGTTATGCAATTAACATTTATATATTTTTTCCTTTAGGCCTGTGAGGAAATAATTGATTCAAGACGAAGAAGAGGTTTGTCCCTAAAACAATATAATAAAGTCACGTTTCCAATGATCTGAGTTGGTAATTCCTAAATGAATAAGCAAAACGACCCAGACATCTATGGCTGTGGTGGTTACATGGTGGTTCATGGGTGTAAAATGTATAATTCCTTCCAAAGATGTTTCCTTAAAGGGGCACAAAAATGCATCAAAATTGAAAACTGGTTATTCCTATTTGAAGTAATTTAACAATGAGTATAGAAAGTTCTGCATTTTTTTGATAATTTTCATCTGTCACTTTTGACTGTGAAGAAAATGTGTTGCTTGGGACTATTGGAGCTATATGGATAAGTTTAATGAAGTTTCAAGCCATTTCCAATTTTCAAACAAGGGCCACTTCAACAGTAATTTAATTTATTATGAATTCTAGGTGAGACATCCTCTGCTTGTGCACCTGCCTATATCCACACATTACCCAGGCAAAGATCATCATCAAGGCAAAATCAGGAATGTAAAACTATTTCTGAGAATACTGAAAATCAACCAAACAACGAGGAAACTGCCATACACACCAACACTGGCAGTAGACAACAGCCTCATGCTAGAAGACGACGCAAAAAGCCATACATGTTTGGTGCCAGACGACGCATCTACAAGAAAAAAGTTGTCAAGATCAATGTGGAAAAGGAAAATGATATCAATAAGGAAGAGGGTGAAAATGAAGATGTTGAGCAAAATGGGACAGAGGTCACAGATGGTAGTGGTTTAGATGATACTCTAGACACCAGTATCAACAGTCACAATCCCCAAAATGACACAAACATACATAATAAACAAGGTAGCTCCCAAGTTGAAGATGAAGGGATTGAAGAGCTGAACAATGGCTCGCCAAAACAAACAAATAAAGGTGCTTGTGATGGTGACAAAGAGGATGCTACAGTACAAAATGGGGATCTTCATCAACCGGAGTGTGATCTAAGAGCAAACTGTAGTTATGCTAGTAAAGGAGAGAAAAGGAGCACCAAGTTCCTGCCAAATGGTTTGACTGCTACTATAGCTATAAGAGATATAGCTGAGGATGAATCACAGGAGCTAATAAATTCTTCAACAAGAGGTAGGGATGTATCACTGCCCTGTAAGATGCTCTGAGCACCTATCCATGATCAGACTTTTTTTAGGGTCATCACCTTCTTGTTTTTATCTATACATTTTATTCGTCATTGTCATTCTTTGTTAACCTAAGTTCATAGTCTGTCTTTATGAAACCTGCAAGTTTATCATTTTATGGGCATCTACTGTTGGTCATATTTAATCACTAGCTCTTTTATAGTTTAGTAGTCTTTACTCCACCTACAATAGACGGTTTTCTCAAGATTGTGTGCGCATCCAACTTGACGGGCTACAAAACTGAAAAATGCAAATTCAGTAAAATCAAGAAGCCAGTTTTATATTTCAAGATGAGGATAATCGATTTGATAAATTTTTATTGAAAAATCTAATAGAAATGTGTGATAATTCTCATTATAGAGTCCCTGCTCTGGTATTGTGGCTGTCAAGGTCCTTCAATTTGGATGCATACGTAACCTTGAGAAAACGGTCAATTTTTTTGTCTCACTAGTTTACCTGTATGTCCATTTATGAAGTTTAAAAAATTTTAACAAATTTGGGAGCCAAGGTGAAGTAAAAGTAGTTTGCTCCAGACAAATGCCTTCGGCTTCTACTCTAAGTTGAAAGGGACAGGAGGTAGGACTACCATTAACCCTGGGCGGTGCTCTACCCCTATCCCTCATAAATTATTTAGTTATATCCTTAAAAAAGAATGATTTTGTAACAGATAATAAAGAAATCCAAGAAAAGGAAAACTCACTAGATGAAGAAGAAGAAAGTAGACCTGAAGAGAAGCCAGTGGTTCACAGTGAAGAAACAATAAACAAATGGAAAGATGAGCTGCACTCACTATTAACGCAGGTTGTTGATATAACAGAGGGCTATACTGTGGAGGAACTAGAGAGATACCACAGTGTACTGCAGCTGTCTATACACCAGCATCGACAATTGGCTGACAAGACTGAACTTATTAAGGTGAGTCACCAACAGATCCACCAAATCTTTATCTTGGGTGAAATATTTTCCCATTTTAGACAATGTATCATACATGCATCAAGAGTTCTGCACAACTGCTCTAAGCAGTTTCCTCGAAGCACATGTTCAAGGGGTCAAATATTGGGATAATGGGTTGTGAAAATTGCTATATTTTAATTTTTTATCAAGCAAGTAGMGTTAAGCTAATTCCAAATCAAATATATCTAAATATAGCAATTTGTACAACCCATGATCCCAATTTTGACGTGTTGCATGTGCTTAAAGCAGTAGGKTGGAACTCTTGATACATTTATTCTCTTGAAAATAAGAGATTCTTTGTTCGAGTTGTATCCACATACACGTCTTTAATGCACATTAGATAATAAAATGAAATTTATTTAATTAATGTTACTCTAGGAAATGACATGTGGTCTGATTATTTACTTATGATTCTGTATTAAATGTATATCTCTTTGTTTGCAGGAATTTAACAACTTAATAACAGATTGGAAGTATGGTGGTGTAAGATGACCTTGAGAAAGTCATTGGTTTTTATTGGTCTTTTACCTGTAAATACAACTTCATTGACAGGAAAGTATGACATGTTCAATAACATCACTAGAAAGGACCCTGAAAGACGGGATTAAATTGTCAAAGTGAACTCAGCAAACAACAGTTTTAGAGTTAGTTTTCATTAGGTAGACTGTCTGGGTTCTTATGCACACACTTATAAATTGATCTTATTCATTTGGCAGTGCAAGGCTACCGTGCAACTTCATTTACAACAAAGTATATTCTGTTAAAGGGAGAAATGTGAACGTTTGAGCAGATTCTATTGTTTAGATACTCAATCATGATTGGCTAATTTGCATGCAAATTTGTCTGKGTGGCCTTGCTTGGTATAGTCGCACCGTAAATTTTTCTGCATCACAAGAAAGTAATGTGTGCATTTCAGGTACGACAGGAAAAGGACCATTCAATAAGGTTGTTCATTTGATCACTTCTTCTGGCTTGGAAAAATTTTAAAATTGGTCCAGGGCTTAAAGTAATGGCCAGTAAGATGCTGGGTCATCAAATTAGTTTTAGCTTGGTCTATTACCTCGTTTCTGGCTCAACAATTGACGGGTCAATTCTGGGTGGTCATTTTCCAGTGACCAACCGTTATTTTAAGCCCTGTGGTCTGACAATTCTTTACGTATGAATGTGTCCATGATTTTAGTATATTACATATTGTGAAAAGACAAAAAGTTTTGCATCCAATTCAAAATTTTATTTTATTATGGTGATCTATTTGTTGACTGCAAAACATGAATAACTTAAACTGTCAAGCCTTCTTTGTGGAGTACTTTACCTTGGGTCTTGTTGTAGAGACCATAGTGATAGCATTTATTCAACTTTGTATACTAGAATTTAATAAAGTCGCTATTTCTAATTCCATACTTAAACTGATTGCTGATTAATATACTCATTTACAAAGTATATTGTCTGCTAAACCTTCCAAACTTACCATCTAGGGATATAAAAAATTAAAAAAAGGAATAGTTGAGGAATCATGTCAAGCTAATGAAACACGGGCAGGGGTTTGAAGTGCTTGTTGAAAATGTATAGAAAGTACATAAAACATCACAATAAGAATTAATACTATATTATGTATTTTTACAGAAGACTTAATATCATATTCACACTGCCATAAAAAAACTGTTGCATTTTCTATACTTTTTTTCTAAAACGTTTCTTTGCAATGAGAAAAGCAAGTCAGAATATTGTTATCAATTCAACTAGGACTCAGTCTAATTGATTTTAACATTAAATCCAGCAGGTGGATTACTCTCCTTTGGAGTTGAAAAATAATAAGAATAAAGGATTATGTCAAACCTAAAAAGGACACTGAATAAAGCCTTCTTAGTTAACTGCACCCCCCTTGAAATCGTTCTGGATCTGTTTAGTCTACAGCATCTTATTTATAAGTTATGTTTACCTTAATGGAATACTTTACAGAATTTGATCTAAATTTCAATAAATATTTTATTCTTCACTTGACCCTGTCCACCAGCTTAGTGTTAGCAGGTGTGATCACTCTTACTCTGAAGGCTGATCTTATCCCTTCCAGAGGATGCTGAGATATTATTAAGATTAACTTAGCTAGGTAATGTCAAATGCAAGGATTTGTCAAAAACCACCTCTCTCCTCTGCAGTACCTCGTACTATCTATGGTCCCAGTGTAGACTAACTCTAGATGCTTAGTGTGGACAGGGTCTTAGTGATCTTTTGTCATTCATGAAATCCTTTGATAACATTATTACCACATTACTTTCACTTTAATGCAAAACATTGTTGATAAAGGTATTTTTAGTTTTTTTATGCTCTTCAATAATTAAAAAACAAATCATAATTGATTTATATTCCAGTTGCAGTTTCTCTGACCAAAATGTTGTTGTGTCAATCTTTTCTATATCCAATACATTGTAGTCTGTCGTTGGATACCTTCATTTGCAAATTGCCTATCTCAGATCAGCGACATTCCCCTGAGAATCGTTCTCTTATGACAAACATTTTAGAATATTTACACTTGAAAGAATCAACTCCCAAGAGTGACATCACATGGTCTGTAATGAGACAACAAACAATGAAGGTGAAGAGGTCTATTGTCGTGAACTGTGCACACCCCCTCCCCCCATACTTTTAAGTATTCTGCACTTGTTATATATCTTTAAAGACCCATGCACAAAAATGAAATAAAACAAATTTAAAACAATGTTTACAGTTCATCTTCATATTCCAAGACATAAACTGCAAGCATTGTTTCAAAATTTGTATTTTTTAATAAAAAACTTTACTACAAAATGACAACAAATGCAGATTCCCTCAAGCCAAACTCTCTCTGTCTCTAGTGTCCCGTTTTTTAGTGAAGCAAAGGGAGAGTTAGTCTCCTTCATCATTTGTTTCAGTCAGAGGATCTGGGACCGAAGCTAATGACAAGTTCGAAGAAGACTTAGCAAGTCTGATATCAGAGAGCAAGCGATGGAATTGCAAAAAAAATACACTGCAGTAGTCTTTCACGCAGCTGTTCTTAGTGTCGTAATGCAATGCTGGGGAGTGAGCTTGCSTAATGACAATGGGTGGTGGGATTTGGGAAAGTCTAGCTATCTCCACTACCACCAGAGATGTTGCATACTATTGACTGCTGTAAGGAATTTGCCCAAGTAGTGCCAAATTGCAGAATTTGTTTTGTGCAAGTTCATTCGTGGGGGGAAGGGGGATGGATACACAGGATACATAAAACTAGAGAACTGATACAGGTGCAGTAACCTCAGTTAATTTTATGTATCACTGGCTTTTATTTCAGATAACTTTGTAGAGGGCCCTAGTGCTTTGCCCACAAACTTTGTATGTTGACCATGAGCCAGTATTGTGCCATCTGCTAGCTTGATGTCTGCCTTAGAAAATGCTAAAGATTTGCCGGCTTTGATGCATGTAGCATTTATTATGATCTCATCTCCAGGTCTTGCAGCTCTGAGGTAGCTAAAATCAAGATATAGAAAATTATTTTAAAATGTAATAATCCAAGGGTTCATGTGTCGTCATAGCTGCCATTTTGGTTGACTTTGAGAAAAGATTTGGTCTTGGCGTCTTTTGTCATTTGCCTTTCAAGCGTGCGATAAAGGTTGCTGTTATGGGGRAGGGGGGCATAAGAGTTTCATCTTTAGAGTTTCCAAATCCATATCCACAGCTTCAGTAAAACGTTCACTTCCCTCCTACTAAATTGACAACACACTGCACATATGTTTTGTGCATTTTACTTGAGCAAGTAGGAAAGACTACAATATATAATATTTCAGCCTATTTAGTCTATAGTGCATAAATATGGAGCAGAATTGTATGTGGCCTTCTTCCCTGCTTGCAGAGGTCTTTTTTTTTTTGCCTTTCATTCTGGCTTTATGTCAGGGGAGACCAGCCTGCTACTCAGCCCTATGGAGGGGAAGAAAAACAGCCTTGCAAGGTAGTGGCATTCTATCATTGTGCCAATTATTATCATGTTTGTAACCAGTAACTGAACAATTCAGTACAATTTGTGCAYCAYATTTCTGCACAACTACTCACCTGACAGTCATATTCACACTGACCCATGGTCCCTGAAGGCCTGTATATCACTATGACCAGCATGCATGTTATTATTGCAGTTAGTATCACCATGACTATATCTAGTATACTCACCTGACAGTCATATCCACACTGACCCCTGGTACCTGAGGGCCTGTATATCACTATGACCAGTATGCGTGTTATTATTGCAGTAACTATTGCCATAACTATATCTAGTATACTCACCTGACAGTCATATCCACACTGACCCCTGGTAACTGAGGGCCTGTGCTCATTATGGCTATGGTGGTTACCAAATCAACCAGAGTTGCTGTAAACCCTCCATGTATATTACCTCCACGATTTGTATGCTCTTCTCCCACTACCATGCGGCATGTACAGTGTCCCTTTGTGAAAGCTGTAAGCTCTATCTGTAAACAGGTGACAAAATGATATTGTATCAGTATCAGTATCTCTGACAATATTTATCTGATAACGAGGGTTGCAGAGCAACCGAAAAAGTGGGGGGTCTAAGATTGAGCCTAGTATGGAGGGACTAAGGTTAGTAAAAAATATAAGAGACTAGTAGGTGAAAAGGAAAAAANGTATATCACTATGACCAGCATGCATGTTATTATTGCAGTTAGTATCACCATGACTATATCTAGTATACTCACCTGACAGTCATATCCACACTGACACCTGGTATCTGAGGGCCTGTGCTCATTATGGCTATGGTGGTTACCAAATCAACCAGCGTTGCTGTAAACCCTCCATGTATAGTACCTCCATGATTTGTGTGCTCTTCGCCCAGTACCATGCAGCATGTACAGTGTCCCTCTGTGAAAGCTGTAAGCTCTATCTGTAAGGTGACAAAAAGATATTGTATCAGTATGTCTGACAATATTTATCTGATAACAAGGGTTGCAGAGCAACCAAAAAAGTGGGGGGGCTAAGATTGACCCTAGTATGGAGGGGCTAAGATTGGAAAATATAAGAGACTAGTATGGGAAAAAGTGGGGGGCTAAGATTGGAAAATATAAGAGATTAGAATGGGAAAAGGGAAAAAGTGGGGGGGGTAGCCCCCCTGCCCCACCCCTTTCTTTGTTTAATGGTTGTGCATGGGAAGATACATGAATATGGATAAAGCTGAAAAGGGGGGGGGGGGGGGGGGGAAAGGGGGGAGGGGGGGGGGGGGGGGGCTATAGCCCCCCTGCCCCACCCCTTCTGCAGCCCATGGATAAGTGATTTATTCTTGCAGTAAATTACACATTTAGCTGTTGCATGTTCGTTTGGAGATAAGGATACTAGAAATTTACATATATCCTATAAACGTCAACTTTGGTCTAGTTGGTCTAAAAAAACGCCGAACCAAACTACAATATTTTTTCTACCTGACTTGCCTTCTTTCCTATTTGGAATCTTTTAATTATATTAAATGCACGTCTTAAAATACCTTTTCTGCTACCCTGTCAAAGCCACGAGATTCTCTAGTAATAAAGTGTAAAAGCTGTGCTCCTCTTCGAAAAAAACTAGACGCCGCCATTGCAAAAAAAAACACAGGAAGCCCAAGGAATTCAATTCTTAACTTTATCAACATTTCCTTTTAGGGGAGGGGGTAAGTAAATTTTTCGCTCTTTCCCAGGCCAGAAGAGAGTATCAGCTGATTGAAATCCARCAATAATATAACTTTACCTGTGGTTGATGAAATCATCAACTACAAAGACATTAATCTATCAAAAGGACCACATTACGCAGTACTTGAGGTAATGAAATGCWCTTTTGGCTTATATCTTTCTTTTACATTTGGTATTCCATTTGGTATCATTTTCTGACATCTTGGGTTGCCTGTGTTTTTCCCATCATGCCTCGCAGTGTTCATGTGTCGTGTCGTCAGTGGTTCTTTCTCTTTTCTTCTTTTMTCTTCTGTCGTGGAGTTTGAKATTTCGCYTCTTATTGAAAAACAASCTCCCTAAATCCAACAGGTACGTTTAACTTTGCTTTTGGATATCCTAATAAACAAATYTGAGCCTTTTATATTCTTTTTCTCGGGTTTTTTTGGAGATTTTGTCGAGTAAAGATAAAACTTAGTTACAACTTGTAAGCCTCTGTGTACGTTGATGTTCTATTGATGTTAGTGTACTCCAGTGTTTGTATTATCTACGCATACAGAGCTTAATAATTTCTTCMGGATGCTTTGCTATGATACATTTTTGATTACTCTACATTATCAACAATATCAATTTTATAGAAATTTGAATTCTTATTTGTAGTAATAATACTCTATTATACTCTAAATAGCTATTATAAAGCATGGTAATATTGGGTGCTAAATGTGTGATTTTGCTATGGGCCGTGTTGCGTACATTCTATATCTTGCAAAGGCAATGTAATAAATATACATATTATAGTTCAATGAAAGCTATTCAAGGAATGCCCTCTCTCCTAACACCTGCACATTGATTCCCCCCCCCTCTCCTAACAAAGGTTGGTAACCATACATGCAATGAATGAAATCAAATTTTTTCTTGGGTTTCCTCCCCCCTCCCCTCTGACTAGTATTTTTCTCTGGCTGGCTTGTATCATGATTTAAAGCCAGGTTAGGTTTACTATACAATRACATCTAGCTATGATACAAAGTTGTATATCATATCTTTGTCAAGCTCTGGCTGAAAGATAAAACATTTTTCCAGAAACATGTTTACTGTGTGCATGCTTCCTTGAAGTTTCCCAGTTTAGCCACATACAAAATATTGCTACACACAGCAAATATTGCTACCTGGAAGCAAAATATGTTTCTCCAGTACAGCAGAAACATTTTGTGTTTCCACATTGGATGGAAACAATGTTACACTTGTTTTCCAATGTTTCCTGAGATTTTGGCCACCTTTAGAAACAATTAACAAAGCATGTGTATGGAAACATGTTTTCTTGTTTAGCAAGGGCTTAACAGGCATCTACCTGTAGTATTCAGGTGTAGAAATGAAAATGGTACGACTAATTTGCCTTTTCAGTGCTAGCTATCACGCGGTATAAATAGTGTTGCATTGTGTTACAGTCATCAAGAAGTTTGGACATCGTCCTCGGATTTCCGTACAAATGGAACTTGATTTTTTTATTAGACTCGGAATGTGATTGGCTGAAAAACACTAGTTAGCAGTTGTTGAAGTCATTGTGCTGTATGATGGTCCTGAATCTTTTCTATTTATACATGTGGGGTGCAGCAACTAGCTTTATTGACAGCTATTAATCAGGGATATGAACTGCTCCCTTTTGAAATAAAAATTGTTCTAACTGTAAAATCAACCAAAAATGAATTTGGTAATAACTTGCTTTAATTATTCCATGAGTCATTGGATCATTGTAGCTTTGTTGAATCTAAGTCACTCACTAGAAGTAGAATTGCACAATTTCCATCATTCCTGTGTTAACACTGAGCCCTCTTCTGTTTTGTTGTACAGTCATGATATCAGATATTCAACTTGCTGCCTTTGCTAACATCCTTGGCGTATCACTATTCCTACTGGTCGTATTGTACCATTATGTTGCAGTCAACAATCCAAAAAGAAAAGATGAATAATTTTTATTAATTCTATTGTAATTTTTCCCAAAATTGTGAGTATATGTAACTGTTAAATCTTATGTATATTCTGTTCTCGTGGAGTCAGAGATTTCTGATTTTGTGTTAAATGCTATGGTTGTATCGTCATGTACAGGAATTGTCAGGGGAATTCTATTCAAATTCAAATTTCAAGTAACCAGCTAGTAGTCGTACCCTACGATAGCATAAATTAAACCATAATAAAAATTTATGCGCACATGCTGATGATACATTTTTTAAATATGACTAAAAAATGAGACCACCCAACTGAATTCTCTTTGTGGTCTAGGGGTTAGGGTTAGGGTTGGCATTGTAGTAGTTCTTTGGTGCCAAAGGTACCGAGTTCGATTCTTGGTGTCTTCACTTAATTTATTTTCTTAGTGAGGAGAACCAAAATTTCTAAGTCCCACTCATGTGTTCAGAAACCTGACGTACTTCGTTAATCCGTACACGACGATAGTACCAATGCTATCAATATGTATATGCTTCATATTTTTATATTTTGTTGTTCATTACATAATAATATCTGTATTTAGAAGTCAAAATCATAGTGATTCGTGTATCATAACAACAGTCTTCACTTTTGTAGGTTGGTATGTTTGTTTATTGATTCATGCTGTCATTGTACAAGATCTTTATCAAGTCAAGGAACAAAGAAACCTTTATCTCCAAATTATCCTCACTGTAACATAAAATAGAATGAAAAAAAACTTCTGTCCAAAGAAAAAATATTAAAATAAAAACTTTGCTATGATTTTAAACAGTCTTTTGTCATAAATGGATGTGGATTCTATTTGTAACCAAGTATTGTAATTACTTGCAGAGGATTCCCTTGATTTTACCTTGATTGTTAAAATAAAGAGACTGTTTAAAATTTCAAGTCTCTACCCCCATAGCCCTCCCCTCCCCCCACGTTTAGTCTCATATCCTATAAATATTTAAATAAGTAATGTTTGATGAACAAACAGAAGTGTTTTATCAGGTATAAAACACAAGGCGTAGCCGAGTGGTTTTAGACCCAATAAAACACGATCTGCAAGTTTATTAAACGTCTTAAAAAACTCATGATGTAAGTTAATTCTTTACGAAATGAACCAAGTTTGATAGAGAAAATCCAAGTTAAAGTTTATGCAAATGAAGACGAATCTATATCAGATGTAAAACCTCCAGTCATGATTTCTATTGTTTCCTTCGTGAATCATTAATGAGTTTTTTAAATTTAATATATGGCCCTCAACTCTAAAGCTGGTCTTCAGTCCTCTTATAGTCACCTTGCAATCAATTTGGTGTTGTGAGTACAAAATCACTGCAGTACTCTCTTGTATAACAATCTCAATAACAAAATACAAACTTTATTAGCTCAATACTTTTTTATTACACTTGTTTGATAAACTAATTATTCTTATAAAAGTATGATTTTCAACTCAATAATTTCGATAACACTGCCAAACAATATAAATAAATGGACTTCTAAAAAAATATATGATTGACAACCTAGAAAAATACTCTGTGAAATCTGGGGGGAAAACTATTGAAAAATAATGTAAACCAAAATACCAATAGCATGAATGTGACAGTTTTTTCTTCAAAGCATGTACTTCTTTTCTATTCACTAGGCCTACATTAATTGTACTCTAAGTATAAATACTTTTTTTTCAAACGTGTATAAGCACCAATTGGAAATGTTCTGCAATGATTGTCTGCACTGGGCAAACACAATGTTAACTCTCAGGGCTTAAAATAACAGCCAGACATCAGACAATATCTGGCAAGAACTGGGACTTGTCCAGTCAAATATTTGCTTGGCTGGTCATTTTGACCAGTAACGTTAAGTCAAAAATAAGGTATTGCTGAGTTAAGGCTAATTTGGCCTGTGATTATGACCAGCAACTGATTGGCCGTTGTTTTAAGCCCTGACTCTTCTGCTACTTCAAGAGCAGATTTAAAGTCACTGGAAATGTTCTATTTCCAAGCATTCCATTCTTATGGAGAGTGTTACAGGATCAAAGGATATTGCTATCTCATTAGACCTTTCCAATTCTTTTCTCAAAAGTAATATTTCTTTTTAAGCAGCTACCATGTTCATGGCTTTACTGAGATAAATGATGGCACAAATTTGAGTTTGGTTAGTTCATAAGCATACTATGCTATTTTAAAAGCACAGAGTGCATGCCATATATCTGTGAAAAACTTTAGCGCCCTTTGCATTACTACGCGGCCACCCCAGACACAAATCAAGTCGTGTAGTTTGCAATAGACTACCATCAATCATTCATGTTGATGCCATTTATACACGTTTGGATCAGTAAGTTGGCTTTTCTATCAAACCTTCTCAGTCAGACATCATGAAGGAAAGTTCCAAAAGCGATTGCAAAGAGTTTGAGTACATCCAAGTAGAATGAGGTGTTTGATTGACAGCAATCAATTGCAAACTACACGACTTGATTTGTGTCTGGGGTGGCCGCGTAGTAATGCAAACTGCAGTAAGATCATTGCTTAGGAGCAAGAAATGTGACACAGGACGATATTACCATCTGACTGACATTCTAGTGAGGACAATAAAGGCAGGGACAACAGTAGCATCCCCCTGCAGGCATCTCCTTGGTTCTTTTTACTCCTCAGGCTACCTGTGGCAAGCACAAAAAAGTCCTTCCACCTCCTCTCTTGTCCCTAGTTCTCTTCTGCCATAATTAACACAGGGAGCACAACAGAATATATGGGGTATCCTGCAGAGGAGGCTAGTATGGAGTCCCTGTTCTTCAGTCCAATCTTAAGATCTCTATGGTTATTGGAGTGTGACCTCTGATGACTTTATTGCTCACTCACTCACAATCGTAAAATAACAGGTGCTATAATGATCAATGCTATAGGCAATGAAGGCCAAAATTAATCTGAGCACTAATAAATTCTTTAAAAACATGAACTTTCAACAGTAACAAATCAATAATTTCTAAATATTCATAAATCATACATGTATATCATCTCATATTTTCATCAATACGTATTCAATCAAGCATCACAGAAATACATGTATCTTCATTTAAAATCAACTATTTGTATAAAGGTAAAAAAAATTCATTTCATACTAATTCTTTCTGGTATAAATCTCAAATTTCAGGGCTCATATAATTTTTGGAATGGTTTAGCATCATACAATAATTTTTATCTTACTTCTAACAATAGAGTTATTTATTTTCCTCAGACCATGAAACATTTTCTTGTAGTTGATGTATGATAGTCAAACAGAACAAAAGAAAACAATGGAAAAAAGATTTACTAGCCTCTATTAGTCTACTAACTATTTCACGGTCTGAGAAAAATTACTCTAATGAGCTGCATTGACTGTTCAAATCAGTGATAATATTTTTTATGTATCAAACATGTATGGAAACAAACTTTTGCCTTTTCACAAGGCTTTGTTGGATTTCTTTTTCTTTGAGGATTTGGATTTGCCATCTTTCCAATTTCCAGCTGAAAAAAAAAGAGAGAAAATATTAATTTCACTGTAAGACTTAAAAGACCTTGTTCATTGTTGAGCAATGTTTTCTTACGATTTACAGACCACAAGTAATTCCCTACAGAATAAGATTCTTTGTTTGAGTTGTATCCATATTAATGTGTCTTTTCATGCACAACTTTAAAACAAATAATTGATACTCTTGGGAATGAATCATAATCTGCAATGGGAAAATGTTGCAGAAAAAGCTGTAAAAGCCCCTGGTTACGTACAGCTGTAAAGCATTTGACAGATATATCATTATTATGACAGCTGTTATCACTTTGAATACATTCAACCAATCAGATATGCTGAATTTTATTCAACATTTGCCTGAATCCCTAAACATTTTCAGCATTACTGCTGATATAAGAACAAGTGCTTGAACATAAAGTTATGGAAAATTTAACTTGTTACTTATGTGATTATTATATTGAAAACAATTTCAAAACATTAAACTGCTTAAATGAAAGTGATTTTTTAAAAACTAAGGTTTTCAAAAAAAGTGCGCATAAATTTGTACCTGTTTTCTTGGAGCCATTGTTTCCAACATTAACATATGCTATAGAGCTATCTGGAATAAAGCTAAGCAAAGGTGGAGTTGGACTGGCTGCAAGGTTATTGCTGTAATCCCCTCGAGTGGCTGCAAGAACTTCATTCATTCTTTGGCAATGTTCTTCTATAAGCCTATTGCAGTTGTCTATAACAAGAGGTTCAGATTTTATCTGCGTGCCATCAGAGCTTACATCAGATTCTGGAGTTGAAACGGAGAATCTGTTTTCAAATGACTCCTCACTATTAGCTCTTGAGGATGAAACTGCATTGGATGTTTTTGCAGCAACAATCACACTTGCCCTTCGAAGAGGTTTTTTCTCTAAAGGACCACTTGAATTTGAAGAGCCATCTTGACCTGGTTGTTTACTGAATGCAGATGTAATATCACTGCTTAACTCTGACGAACTAAAAGAGAATGAAGCTCTTTCGCTTTTGGAATCTATCATTGACGTCTGCTGTGAAAGGACAGCAGGCACTTCAGAGGCCATGCTACTGGAAACCCCTAACGCATTTTGACCTAATGTTAAAGGAGTTGAGCTCAAAATATTAGGGTTTGCTGATGCTGTGACTAACATTTGATTCTTGTACAATAAGCTCAGCTGTTGCCAATACCTCAGTGAGCTAGCCAAGTCAATGTACTGGGAAGAAGTATCACAAGCACCACTCGTCCCTTCTGTTTCATTCTCGCACCTTTCCAGTCCACTTGATTTCCTTGCATTCTTCTGTAACACAGCATAAGGAGTAATAGCCACATATGGATACCATACAGTTCCCATGGGATATACATAGCTTATTGCATAACATTTGCCATTACTTTGTATATTACTGCTTGAATCAGGCACAGTGCCTCTAAGCGGCGTTGCGTCACTAGAGGTCAGCACTGTAGGTGATGACGTAGTGATGGTAGTAGTTGTGGCACCAGATGTACTAGTTGTAAAGCTCAGAGCACTTGCTTCACACTGGCTCTTCTCGGATGTAGATTTTTCAATTGAAGAACTTGAAGCAATTTCATGGAAGTCAGTTGATGATTGAGGCCTTATAGCCATTTTAGAAGAATCTGAAGTCTTTGAAATAGATTCACTGTTAGGATGATCATTGGTTTTGTGGCTAGGGTCCACAGACTGCTGCCAAGTACAACTATTTGACAAAACCTCAGATGCTGGTTCTTTTGAGGTTGGCTGTTTATTTTGGGTCTGGGGTTTCGGCATGGCATGAATGTTTGATGATATGCTCATTATGGGTGTATTAATCGAAGAAGCAGACATATAAAGGCTCGTCTGGGGAGTATTTTTGCTCTTTGAGGACCCATTTTTAGCAAGGGCTCTACTGAGGTCCTCCGAACTATAGTAATACCCATATTGCATATAATTTTTAAGGGCAACATTTGATGCGGTGGTTGTTGTTGCTGCTGCTTTTGTTGCAGTCGTTAAAATGTCACTGGAATGACTGTTTGAAGGAGATGATACAGATATTACGGGCGGTTTTGGTGATTGTGATGAGGGACAATCTGGTGATTTTTGTCGATTCTGTTCATTTGCTTTGTTTAAATTCTCTCTCTTAATGCTTAGCTCTAATCTTGCCCTTTTGGACTGGGGATCATGAAAGGTCAATTCAGATGAAGATAGTGAATATTTAGAGCTTGGATGACTTAAACCAGAATATGAATCACCCAGCGTATTTGCAGGCCTCTTTCCTGATCCACTGCTTGTT